GGGTTCAAGGCCAGGCTGGATGAGGCTTTGGGCAACCTGGGCTAGTGGGAGGTGTCCCTGCCCACGGCAGGGGGTGGCACTGGGTGGGCTTTAAGGTCCCTTCCCACCTAAACCATCCTGTGACTCTGTAATTCCAAGTCAAGCCCTTTGCTCTGTCTCTTCCTCCCAGGATGGAGCACCCCACGCAGGACAGCCATCCTCCCTGCTCCCAGGGATGCTGTTGGCTTACTGCCAAGCCTGGACCAGTCTCAGCAGAGACTCAGCGCTGGGAGATCATTTGCAGCAGTGAGAGCCCTGTCTTGGAATAGTGAAGGAGCTGGGAACTGCCCCACTGGGTTGAAAACATGAACGTGATGGGCAAATTATAACCTGGCAGTGAGGGAGATGCAAAGGCTCTACTGCTGATGTGGGGAGAGCTCTCCAGAGCTTTTATGGAGAGACTGTCTTGCCTGGTGCTTGTAGGCCACCCCTGCCATGAAATCCCTCCTGCACCCAAAATATCTGGCTGCTTCTCACATCCAGGAACATCCTCTGCAGCTGCAGATCCTTACCATCCTCTCACAGAGGGTTCTGGAGTTCCCAGCACCTCCCAAACCACCCTGCAAATCCCCGCTCCGCTCCCAAAGTGCCTTGCAAAACCATGCTGGTCCCTGGGGTGCAGCCCCTTCCCGGCTCTATGCGGTGCCACACGGTTGGAAAGAGCTGATTTGGGAAGTCAGGGGACATCCCTGGGCATAAACACCCAGGGCAGCGCGGCCAGGGATCAGCTCTTGCAACACGCGCATCCCACCGTCCTGCAGGGCTGGCTGGGGACACAGGACGTCCCCGAGCATGGAGGGCTGGCATTTAGGGGAGCCCCATGCGAGGGGCAGAGAGGGGATGGCTTGCGAGCAGACATCGCCCCGGCTCGCTGGTCGGGCAGAGGGCAGCTACTTTGGTGGTCGTAGCCCAGACTTTGGTGGCCCAGATGTTTGCAGTGGCTGGGCAGGCCCCCGCCAGCGTGGGGACTGAACCGCCTCCAAGTTAATCGAGGTTAATAGTAGGATCGTGTTGGTCGGTTTGTGCTGTGGCTGCCTAAAAAGAGAAGACTTTTAGTTTCTGGTATTTCTGGTATTTCCAGTCCCTGAACCTTCACAAGAAGAGATCTTCACCCCTGCATCGAGGGGAGGAAAGTCAAAAAAGGAGCC